GACGTGCTCTGATGGGATGGTCCTCCAGAACCCGAGCCTGCACAAAATTTTCTGGTGGCCATCCGGTTCTACCGAGTTACAACGCACTGAAAACGAGATGGATGTACTAAAACGGAATGGCCGTACTTCGATCCCACTAGGAACTTGTAACGACGTATTGATAGCGAGAAAGAAATGGTAAAATCATGTACTAAGGAAGGGTTCAAACTATTCTAAACATTGTCAAAATAATGTAAAGAATGTTTAAGAACGAACATTGAGCTTTGGTCTCACCAAACTAGTTTTACATTGTGTTCATTGCGGTCGTTTAAAATGCTTGCCAGTGCACGGACTAGATTTGCATTCTGTTAATAACTCGTCTTTGTTGTTATTCCGTGCAAATATGGCAAACTATAATAAATAACCTACTTCTTGACAACAACATTCTCACACGTTTAGAAGTTCGTAACCCTACTATCACACCAAACTAGTTTTCACTAAGTTTTCGAAAACGGGCTTCAACTGTGTAAGCCTACTGACGGACTGGACGTACTTAGAACCGTTTGGGGTCTATTTACAAACTTCATCGAACGTACTCGAACGGGTAGGTCCTCTAGAACTTAGAACATGCTCAAAATGTTCTCGTGGTCGATACGTTCTACAATTAGAACGAGTGACAACGTAGTAACGACGAGCTGGACGACGTACTACGAACGGAACCGTCGTACTTCAATCCTACTAGGGACGTTTTAACAACGAGTTGAACTGTCTGAGGAATGAGGACGTTTTGAGAACGAGGTAGAACTAATTGCAAACGGGTTTAAACTGATTAAGAACGTATTTAAGACTGCTTATGAACGAGTCCACTACGGCCTGTTTACGAACTTCATGGACTTTCCCGGACGGGGAATGTGATTTAGAATTTTGAATCGATTCAAAATTCGATGCCGACCATGCCGTTCTGTAATCAGGTCATGATGACCTTCTAGATTAAGGGACGTTTATCACTACGTTGCACTCCGACGTGGTGCGACCTGAACGAACTGCGAATGAGATGGACGTATTGAAGACTGTTTATGAACGAAGTAGCTAATTATTTTAGACATATATCCCGACCGCAGCCAGATTGAGCCCGTTTTACGACATTTTCGTAGGACTGGTAAGAACGGGTAAGAACTAGTTTGGTGTGATAGGGGGGTAAGGAATATATCAAGCTTAAAAGTTATCAATGATGTAACCAAATTACGTCTTTAGTCAAGCCTTTTTCCTTGCAAATACGTTCAAATGTTCCCAGTCATATTTAATAGCTTTAAGTTGGATTTGTATTGAAGATAGTTCATCAACGAACTAGCATCGTATTTTAGGAATTTTGCCCTGACCACATAGGACGTTTTTGAACAAGAGTGTTAACTAATGTCAACAATTGCTATGATTAAATTGTAGATAAATATGTATGTTTTCTAGAAATACAGTAAAACCTGTCTAATCCTAACCCCATTTGGACCGGCTAGAAACAAGCGTTCGGATAAGCAAGTGTTCCTATTTCCAGGTTTTTGGATTCGCGAAAATTCTGTTTTTGAAGAAATGTAAACACATTCTCAATAAATATTTATAGTATATTGACCACATAAAGAGGACCGAAAATGTTCGTTCGGATTAATCAGGTGATCGAACACATGTTTTACTGCAGTGTTTAAATTATCCAGCATATTTCTGTATTTCGGTCAATTTTCAAGATATGCATGTATATAACTTGCTTTGAAAATTTGAATGCTTTATCAGTTACAGTTCTTTATCAGCTGTGCTTTATCTAATGAAGTATATTTTCTAAATTTGTCTGTTTTTCATAAGTACACTTATTTACATAGCCAATAAACTTGCATAAAAGCATGACTTCATATCTAGACTCGACAATTTACATGAAATTGCTTTATCTATACTTTTATATATCTATTCTAGCAAAAATGACATGATTTGTGTCCAGTCACTTAATCCTCAGGTGGTAGGTGTCAGTTTTTGTCGGTGAATAATATTTATATCATCACAGTTCAAGAACTGATTATGTCAAGGAGCAGATGATCCAAATCAATACACCGTAGGCCTATGTGATTATAGGCTTTCTAAATGTCAACGAAAATAGATCTGTAACATTATGTAATATGCTAGTTTCGTTCAACTGTTATTGTGAACAATAAGCCTTCTTCCAAATCACCAGAGACAACGGATTCTGAATTTTAAAACAAACATAAGAGGACAACAGTAAATGGTGATACTTTTTTCATTGAAAGTGACGTAATTTAATCAGTAAATTTAAGATTCCTCTTGATTTTTGAGCGTTAACTACTATTAGCAAAACTATTAGCAAGCAAGATTTTAATTGATTGTTGTTTCAAAAGAATTTACTAGGCCTACTTGCTCTTTTAAATATGCAATGATGGAAGAAAATCGAATCGAATGCGAACTTCTGCCCTCCAATTGTGACAACGGAATCGGACGTTGTCGTTGTCGGGGTGTTCCAGTGTTTAATTGGTGATATTAGAATAGGTAGTTTAAGCTTGCATATCAGCTAGGAGGCCGACGGCACAAAAGCGGTGATTATTAAAAAAAAGTTAGTGGTCTTCCGCGGGACTATATTCTATGACGGCATTCTCAAGAAAAAATTCAGTGTATACATGAAAAGTTGAACGGCTCATGCGCATTCATATTCTTGCATATCTTTATGATATTTGGTGGGATGGTAGATTATATCTAGATCTATAGAATGAATTAAATTAAATCACACATTGAAAAGAATTGGAGGTAGAAAAATCGCGCCGGCCGATAAACTTTTTTTGGACAAAAAAAATCTTATTTTTTCAACATTTTAGCAAAAACTGTAACGATCATACAGTTTTGGATATTTTTTCCTCAAACTTTCTGAATATTGACTCCCTTATGTGGTTTAATTTATGTGAAAAAATTGGGAATTTATGATCATTTCAATGTAGTTTCCGTAAATCTCAAAGTTAGGTGAGTCACTTTTTAAAAATGGCCATTTTTGAGCTTATGGCGTCATCAAAGACGTTCTCGGATAACGTAAACAAGGTATATAATTTGCTTTTCTTTTACAAGTGCGTTCTCAATGAGTCTTAAATTTTCACAATTTGTAGTATTTATTCTTGGGTTTCAAATTATGCAATTTTGAGAAATAAATGTAATGAGGATATACCAAGATATTATCATTTAAATCAGGAAAGCAAATTGACTGCATTCCCTACGACGTGATTCGCTTTCATTTTTACGCCATTTTTGGTCGCGTACCTCTTTGGCTTAAAACTGTAACAATTTGTCAATTTTTTATAGATCAATCTCAAATTTCACGTGTGGTATCTTCAATATTTTTTAAAATATTGTAGCGATTTTTTTCTAAAATAAAACGTTAATACAACTAATAAAACTTTATTCGAAAATTATGTTTAAAATTTGTGAAAAATATTGATTCCGTTTTGACGTCGGATTTGTCATTTAAAGTAAAACTTGGTGTCATTAATTCCTAAGGTTAAATTGAAAAGTCCAATTGTAAAGACAGGAACTAGGTATTATAGAAATATATGTAACCAAATTATTTCTGGGCACACCCGTTTACATGGCCATCACCATAGAATTAACCCCGATATTTTATCTCCCAACTGTGACCACTGTAACATACCAGAGACAGTTGAACATTACATCTTTGCATGCTCTAAGTTCCAGGAAGAGAGGGAGATTCTATTGGCCAAAGTGCAACAGATACTACTAGGAGCTAAATACAATCCAGCTCTAGACCTACAAACAATCACAGGACTCAACACAAGCCTGGACCATAAGTTAAATAAAGAAATTATGAAATGCCTGCAGGCATTTATACAGAAATCCAAGAGATTTTAATAACTTATTTTTAACTCGAGTGAGATAGTGACTCTATTTTAACATCTCATTTTAATGGAAAAACACTTGCATTTTAGACTACGTTAGATAACAAGTTTTAGCGCTCTCTCTCCCAACAGAAGTAAAATAAGCACAAGTGAAAAGTACAAGTGATATTTTTAGTACATGAGTTTTAAAAACAGCAACAAGTGATCAAAGGCAGCATAATAATGCCAAAGTGATCCCGGAACACCTTATAAGGAACACTGAAAAGGACTAAGAAGAAGAAGGTGTCATCACTTTCAACATATGTTTCTCATTATAAAACTGAAGAATGTAGACTTAAATGTATTCACAGCTGAAGATTATATTCTTATTTGGAAAAGTATTTACTTTTGTGATGTTTGATGCTGTATTTTTAGAACAATTGACCATGACATATTGACCTCTTAAACTATACGGAGTGAGAAACCAATATTGTGCCGTTTTATACAAAACAAACAAAGCCCTGTCAAAGTACTTGTCTATTTTGCAATTTAAACAGTATTAATTTGAATAATTTTCTTAATCTAAAACTATTTAATTTAAGAAAAATGGTTTTAATTGTCATGAGAGCCGTTAGAATATAAATAATCAATGACAGGTTCATTGACTTACCCTGTACGTACCCGGAAGTGGAAGGGCAACTAACGTGAGTGCAATTTTGTGGATTTTTGTTTGTTCCGGTTCTCGAAAGAAAAAAGAAAATATATTTTAGATTAGACCTAGATTCAATAAAACTCGTATATTTGATGTATATACTACATCAGTAAATATGTAGAAACTTAAGTTACATATCACAGACATATAGAAGTGTCTTGTTCATTTCAATGTGACTACTAGGAGGCTGAAAGTGAAAGATTTAAAAATTTAGAGTTCCAAATCGGACGGAAGGTGTTTTTAGAATTATGCTGATTTGAGAGGAATGGATGACAAGTCAACGGACCTTTAGACTAAAGTACATGGGATGACAACATGTTGGAACATCAAGAGCAAGCATCACCAATTGTGTCAGACATACATGTAATTCTGTTACCTTATCATCACATGCAGCGCTCACCATAAATAAATGGCACAGCTGGACTTGCTGAAGTTAGGATTTCCCATGTTATAAAAAGTAAGCTTGACAGTTGATTGTTTGGGATATGCAGGCCTGTAGACACTTTTTACCAATGGGAGTGGTTTTACCAAGGGGGAGCTTTTGTCAAGGGGGGAGACCCTATCTGTTGCAAGACTAACGCCTGGCATAACCGTCACCATGTTATTTGGTGTTTTTTAAGTAGCGCAAGGATCCTGCCATGACCGTGGTAATGTTATCGTGAAAGCCTGGTATAACTGCGACAATGCTGTATTATATTAAAATGCCTGCCATGACCGTGGTAGTGTAATCGTGTAAGCCTGGCGCGACCGCAACCTTTATATGACATTAATGACCTTCATGTTTCGCCCATTGCTGTTGGTATTTTTTATGGATAAATCTTATTAATTGATCATTATAGAAAGTATATGCTTTCGAATCGAAGCTCCTTGAATGAGAGTAGAGATATAGTTTGTTCACAAATTATTTATGAGTAAAAATTAGGTTTTCGTTGTGAAATTAATACACATTTTTAGTAGTCTTTATTTACATATTTAAGGTAGTTAAACACGAAGAAAAATTGTCATTACAGTGTTCTCAAGCTACTTTAAATACAACCACGGTCATGAGAGGCCTTGCAATATAATATAGCATTGTCACGGTTATGACAGGCCTTGCAAGCATTGTAACGGTCATATCAGGCTTTAACATTACCACGGTCATGACAGGCCTTATAAGCATTGTCACGGTCATATTAGGCTTTAACATTACCACGGTCATGACAGGATCCTTGCGCTACTTAAAAAACACCGAATAACATGGTGACGGTTACACCAGGCGTTAGTCTTGCAATAGATAGCATGTGCAAGGGGGAGCTTTTTGACAGTTTTGGTTAAAATTTCATGCAAAAGGTGCTTGAACTGGTGAAAACTGCATAATTTTGAAAGAGGGGCCTTGCTACGGGCCTGATAAGGTACAGCATGAACATAGGCCCAGGTCAAAGTTTAGTATAAGTACCGGATTTTCTCGCATATAAGCCCTGGGCGTATAACTGAAAGAAGGGGCAATTTCGTCTGTTATTTTACCTCTTATTTTTCGCCCATGGGCGTATAAGTGTACTACTTTCGATTTTTGGCCCAGTGGGCGTAAAGGTGAGAAGAGCTGATGAATACAATGGAATGTTAAGTTGTTAATGAATGTTAATACAATGAAACAAAGTACGACAGAACGATCTGCCAGTGACAAAATACTCTTGAATTTATTGAAAAAATCAATAAATAGTCATTTTTCATAGGCCCATGGGCGTATAAGCGTACTATACTGTAGATTGGGTTAATTTGGCGCTACTTAATTTGGCGATTTTGTCATTTTTGGCATATTGGCGGCTATTTAATTTGGCGGATACATGTATGCAAAAAATTGGGCATGTTTGGCTATGTTCATTTTTTCTTTTGAGGACCACTGGCGATATTCACCATGTAGTGTACATTTTTGTGAGATCATCCTTTACATTTTGCACCTCGATCGATGCTGCTACTATACCGCGCTTTTCCTTTCTAGTTTTTCCCCAGAGTATTAATGAGTGACTGACCAGTTCTGAGCCAATTTATGAGATATTTTTCATATTTTAAACCGGAAGTGACCTAAATACACTGGACGAAATACACTGGATAATTCCCGGGGATTCATTCTAAATTTTGGCGAAGATTTATATTGGCGAATTTTTCAATTTCGCCAAATTCGCCAAATTAAAGCGGGCGCCAAATTAACCCAATCTACAGTATTCGATTTTTGGCCCATGGGCCTAAATTTAGGGGGGCGTATATGCGAGAAAATCCGGTAAGTCCAATATAATATTCACAGGTGCCCCACTTCAGTCGAAATATTTAAAAATCTCGCAGTCTCAGGTACGAGTTCTCCTAACTGGTATCAAATTGTACATGTATTCCCAAATCTGTCCAAAATCTTCTTCAAAGTGGTTCTATGTAAGTTCATCTCTCTGGTTTATATATTATATAAAAGACTAGGGGATACTAGTCGAAAGTCTCAATGGGATAAATATTCTCTGAAGTAATGAATAAACTTACTTAAACATTCTTCAAAGTGTTTTCAAACTTTTGCATATAATATTCGACTTACTAATACTTTAACCTGGGCCTATGAACATGAGAGTGATGAAATTTGAGCAAACTGATATTTTCATTGTTTCAGAAAGATTTGGTCTAGCTTCTTGATATTTTTATTTGTAAATGTTAGAGATATCATAGGACGAAAATAAGAAAATTCTAGTCTATATTATATTCACCATGCATTTTGGAAGTTTAGGGTCATATGCAAGCGTCAGATGTAGTATATGGTATAAGGCGCAGGTAAATTTCACTGAGATAAAACACGAATTCAAATTCATTGTGTTGTACCTAACCCATTGCCATTTGGGTTAAAAAGATAAACATTTTCAACTCTGATTAAAAATTGTGTAGAAATAGACTATTAATCATCATTCTTGTCTCATAACTTCTTATTCTAGCTAATACATAGATTGAATCTTCTCTGCTGCTGTAACATAAATGTTCTCTCTTTTCCTTGCTTAAAATGATCATATATTTTATAATAGAATTTTTGGATTCCATTCCGAACTTTAAAATTATGTATTATTTAATATTTGTATAATAATTTTCAGTTTCAGGAATGAATTGGTACTGTGGCTGTTAGAAGACAATGGATTTCACAATAAATTTTTATGCAGGCCTTCATAATATCAGGTAAATAATTTCTGTTTTAACCTTCATTAGCACATTCTATTTTACAACCTAAATGGTATTTTGGGGTAATGGAAATGATACCCCAGATCTAAATGCTGACTAATTGATTTTCTATGCAATATCTCATCTTGGTGCATTATGGTCAACAACCTCCTGAATGAATGCTTTGGCTCAATGGAAATGCCATTGAGCACACTGATAAGGTGACAGGACCAAATCTTTCAAAAAACAATTGAAAAAGGCAATCACACCAAAACTGTTAATCATATTGAAGGTGCTGTGCATGTTTGTTTTGTTGTGATGGCCTTTTCCTGAATCATTTCCACTCGATAGATCTAAGCAGAAAGATTCAAACTGTAAAATTGCAGACTTCTGATACTTGACTACTCATTTTTCAGATTTTGTAAAAGCAACAACTGAATGGCCTATTGAAAGGATGTTTTGATGACAGCATACTTTGACTTCGGAGCAAGAGGGTCAAACAGTATCCTGTGGGATCAGCTGGACTTCTGTTGCTGTCTAGAAATTTCTTAACATTGACTATGAATACAACAGTCTTCCTACTCCCCTCCTGTGTCAGCTTCAACAGTCTAAACCAACCATATGACAGTAGTGTTGGGACAGTTAACTTAATTCCAACAAACAAGGTTTGGTAGGGATATAGTGAGCCCCCAGTTCATCCATTGAACAACTCAGATACTAGTGGATGGATTTTTTTCACATTGGGTGGAAAGATGTGTATTGGTAACTGTTTTAAGCAAAACAAACAATTTTCGAGATGGCTACCACTTTAAAATGTCAGGATTTTTTGTGAAAATCTAAAATTTTTAAGCAAAGTGGTGAATATTTCTGTTTGAAATTTTGGAAGTAAATTCACAAAATACATCTATTTCACCTATATTACGTGTTTTTCAGCCTGACCCCTAGGTATGTGTATGGGGTCGGGAATACTGGAATTTTTGTTTGTTTTGAGATCTTTTTCAGTACATGTATAGCTCTGTAATGCTAAAATGAAAGATTAGTTCAAACAGATTTCAAGTTCAGTATTGTTTTTCCGATTTAGATTTAAGAACATTCAAAGGGGCTGTCTAAATTGGGATTTCACAATTTCCCGACCACTTCCAAAAATAAGGCTATATGGCTATATTACACTCAAATTGAAGGCATTGCAGAGTAGATCACAATAATGGTATTGTTTTTCTGATTTGATCCTCAGAAAATCCAAAATGGCCACCTAATAGGGAATTTCACAATATTTCACCCATCTCTTCAAAGTAGACTATTTTTATACTCAAATTGAAGGAATTTTAGAGTAGATCACAATTATTATATTGTTTTCTGATTCTTCCCTCAAACTGGCTGCCTAAAGTATGGACACATTATATAACATTAGATCTCAAATAAATGTAATGTGTTGTCTTCATGATCTCTGAAATAAACAATCATATGTGTATAAGGTATTATTGGAAAGATTATTCAATTCCCAGTATTTTGAGCTTACTTTTAAGTATATTGAACCATTATTAATGAAGAAATTCATTTTATAAGAACACAAGGATTTATCGTTTCAAGTCAAAACTACTGAAAATTTGGGCATGTCAGTAACTTTAACAAGCTCAACTTTTCTCCTAGGTGGGTTAAAGGAACATTTTTTTGCTAAAACATGCCTCATGAAATTTAAAAAAAATTATTTGACCTTGTACACTACCATGGTGTTTTGTCACTCTATAAACAGGTCCTTTTTACTCGATTTTTGTATGATAAAAAATTATGTTTGGGTCTGTTATAAAGGACCAGGTACAGTATGGCAAGTGATTTTGGACAGTCATATCTTAATCCATTAGTACTTTCTTGCCAAAGGGCAGTGGTTTTTAGCTCACATGGTGAGCTTTTGCAATCACTCACTTGTCTGTCCGTGCGTCCGTGCGTGCGTCCATCCGTCGGTCTGTCCATCAACAATAGTGGCACATTTTTAAAACCTCTGTAGATAGGATTCTCGTTTTGAGTTATTTTTGTTTAACATCAATACAGAAAACTCCCCTCCGACTCCTGGTTCTAAAGCTCACCCATTTTCAAGATGGCTGCCATTTTTGTCTCGTGAAATTCATTTTTGACCCATTTCCTAGCTTTACAAATAATGTCAGGTGTCCTGCATTGTTAATATCCATGTCAATGTGAAGAGTAGTTATATGAAATAATTTTGTTACAAAAAATCAGTAAAAAATTGTATCCGTTTTTTTTATTTTCAGCCATTTTAGTTAACATGGATTTGTCCATCTGTCTGGCGAAATCCACTTTTGGACCATTTGCCTGAAAACCTCTGTCGATAAGATTCCCGTTTTAAGTTATTTATGTTCAACATAAATACAGAAAACTCCCCTATGACTCCTGGTTAAAAAGCTCGCCTATTTTCAAAATGGCCCCCATTTTTGTCTCGCGAAATTCACTTTCAACCCATTTCCTAGCTTTCAAAATAATTTCAGGTGTCCTGCATTGTAAAATCCATGTCAATGTAAAGAGTAGTTGTATGAAATAATTTTGTAACAAAAAATCGGCAAAAAATCATATCCGATTTTTTTTTTCAGCCATTTTAGTTAACATTTATTTGTCCATCTGTCTTTCAGTCAGTCCAAGATAGTGGCAAGTTTAAAAACCAATGTCTGTCAACACTTGGCTCTTTTTAAATCCTCTGTAGATAGGATTCCTGTTTTAGAATATTTTTGTTCAGCATCAATAAAGAAAAAACCCCTGTGACACACTACCCTACCTCGATCACGCATGCGCGAATTTTTTGGCTTTCAATCAGGTCGCTTTTGAGTATATCGACTGCTTACTCAAAAGGTTAATACGTTTGGTGCTCGGAGTGAGTCAATATTGCTATTCGCTACACTTCAGTGGTGCAATAATGAAGTCGATGTTCCAAGTTATATGATAGTTATAGAAAGAATGAAAATAATATCGTTTTAAATTTTAGAATATTTGATATGTCATAGTACACGGTACACAATTGCAAAAGTTGATCAATACAGGGTACAAGGAATGTAAATTGTTCAATAGTACAGGGAGCGAGAAAGTAAGCTGATTATACAGACATACTATGTTCCGACCTCATGTACATTTACGCTGCAAACAGTGAAAGTAATGCTAAAAAGGTCGCCTGTTGATGCTTTGGGGTGTCATCAATTGTTATTTAATCCAAATAAAGTAAACATTATTTTGTAGATTTAGACACAGGCTTTCAGGTCGTATGCATTTTAGTCATAAAATAAACAAGAACGCTAGATTATACGTGTTACTAGGGTATTAAATTGAAATAAAATAACAAAATTAAATGCTAAGACGTTAATGATAATTATATAAATGACTATCCGCTATCAGTATTAATGGCTATCCGCTACTCAGAATAATTAAAATTGCCTGAACTACATGTGAAGAATCGTTCTATATAACCCCTTGAATGGTATAATTCACTACCGTCCTCAAAAACCGATCATTTAGAATGTTTTGTTCAAATTCACAAAAATACAGTTGAATAACATACTAGAAAACGTATCCACCTATAACACGATGACACGCAGTTGAAATAATAGTTCACTGTTTTTTTTGTTACATATCAATGTAACATTTTCGAAGGGAAACTTACATGCTCCCTGTACGTTGACAGATTTACTGAAATGTATCGTGTATTGTGTTGAGTTTTGCTTCACTGCGCCCACTATTATCTATCTTTGCCTATAGGTTTTTTTTGCCAACAATATTCTACAAACTGCTTGATGAATCAATTCTATGTCTGGTAGAACACTAGAAATAAATGTAAAATGTATTTTACGTTCAGAAATATGGAATTAAACCCACGTCCTCCATTTGCAACTTAGCTGTACCCTGTTTCCATTTTAAACGTGGTCACGTGGTAGGGTAGTGTGTGTGACTTCTGCTTCAAAAGCTCGCCTATTTTCAAAACGGCCACCATTTTTGTCTTGTGAAATTCACTTTTGGCCCATTTCCTAGCTTTACGAATAATTCCAGATGTCCTACATTGTAAAAGCCATGTCTTTGTAAAGAGTAGCTGTATGAAATAATTTTGTTACAAAAAATCAGCAAAAACATCATATCCATTTTTTTATTTTCTGTCATTTTAGCCATCATTCACTTTTGAGCAAAACCATGTGAGCCCAGTACCCACGGTACTAATTTTTATTTAAAACAATGTGCTTTCTTTCAAGTGAAGTTCCAACAATTCCACTTGTGGAGGTGTTCCATTTAAAGAGGTGTTCCACTTTACAGGTTTTGAGAAAGTACTCATGGTGAAAGATATAATGACCTTCTAAAATCACTTGCCATACTTACCCTGGTCCTTTATGTTGGGTTATTAGGTATTAGACATGGATATGATATTAGATAAAATAAGATTATACAAGTAATATTAATAAAATATTATTAAATAAGAATTATGAAATAAATTGAATTGAATAAATGACAGAACTAAATTTGCTTGCCGATCCTGAATTAATGATTTATGCAACACAACATGATATCATTTTTAATTTCACATTGTATTAATGCTTTAAATGCTATATTCATAGAGTTAAGTAGTTGTGACATATTTCCTATTGTATTGCAATTAAGTTGTATGTTGTAGGCCTATATCAGTATGCCCTACACCAAAAGAAATAAAGCAATGTAAATACGTATATGTTACTATACTTATTGTATCTTAATTATCCCAACGGACGAAGTTCTGTAGGGATATAGTAAAGCCCTCCGTCCCTCCGTCTGTCCGTCAGTCACACCGGAGGCCAAGAGAACTTATCCTGGTATTCATGTTGGAACTTGAATTCGTCCGTCTGTCCGGAGGATAACTCGAATACTAGTCAACAGATTTTCTTCATATTTAATGGAAAGATGTATATTGGTGAATAGTTTTACGCAAATTTTTCTTCAAGATGGCCGCCAGTTTGAAAATGCCGGGAATTTTTCACAAAAATCTTACGTTTTTCATTTTAAACCAAAATAATAAATATTATTATTTGAAATTTTGGCAGTATATTAACATCTGTCTATTTCACATATATATCCCGAGTTTTTCACCCTGACCCCCAGGGGCCGTAAATGGGGGTTGAGAAAACAGGAATTTGCGTTAATTTTGAGATGTATAGCTTTATTATACTCAAATGAAAGGCAATTTAGAGTAGATTGTAAATATCGTAGCGTTTTTCTGATTGGGGCCTAAAAAAATCAAAATGGCCGCCTAATGCGTGATTTCGCAATTATTTTCTGATCTCTTAAAAGTATGGCTATATTATACTCAAATTGAAGGTATTTCAGAGTAGATCACAATTATGGCATTGTTTTTCTGATTTGCGTCTTTGAAAATTCAAAATGGCTGACTAGAGCAGAAATTCGCCATTTCTTAGATTTACATGATGCTACAATGATTTAATATATTTATTGAAGGTAAGAGTAGATGGTAAATATTATTTTGTGACTGTACAGATTGATGATTTATATAGTGTTCGTTGGGATTTGCTACTCCGTGGAGTTGCCATTTTCTAGTTCCTTATTGAGTTCAGTACAGAGTGATCATGACAAATATATCACAAAAATGGACATACATCATGACATTAAATGTCATTTGAGCCATATAGTACTGTTCTTTTTCCTCCCAAACATTTACATAATGATCTAATTTGGTGGGTGTTTGGTGTACAGCTGGAAAATATTTGAAATACGATTTTGTTTCTATTATATGACTTCGAATTTAATGAGAAACAATTAAGAAAAATATTATGTAGACTAGTATAAAAATTCATTTACAGCGCGCATAAGAAGCTAAGACGATTCTCTTGGATTTACATAAATCAGTCAAAATTGGAGCACAGTACGTGTTCGTGAGTTTAATGTCCATATAACATGTTTAGTACCATGGTACATGAAGTGTGAACTATTCCATATCATAAATGAGAATATTTTAACTGAAAGAGGAAAAAATTACACTCTTGTCTATTCTAAAAATGCGGAATTTATACATATAATCATCATTCCGATTGGAATGACGCGCTAAAAAAGATTCACAGGCCAGCGGAAATTGTGCCGTAAAATATGGCGCTGTTTTAAATGCGCCCACATTGCAAAGAAATGTACCAAATCCATCCACTTCATCCTATATCAATGAATTTTCTCTTAGCTGTTATTTGGAACATGTGTAGTGTGATCGGATGAAAACATATTTTCTACACAAAATGGGCATCTTGAATTTGAATTTCGAACATTCGTCTTTAAGAAATGAATACGATCCGTCTTTAGAATAGGTTAATTGTTCATAAATGTCCGTATCTTTAAACCCTAATACTATTTACAAAGTGTCTTATCGTAGATTGATTTTTCAATTTCATAATATGATATTTGGCGTACACATTATTCAATACGCCTTTACGAGACTTATGTCATTTCGATCGTTTTATTTGGAATTTCAATGGGCGAATTTCATGTTCAAGCTTGATGTCAACTGAAGTACATCCGTGAACTATTTAAGTCGTCAACTTGGATTTTGGGCTAAAATGACGCCATTTAAGAGTTTTCATTTTAGTAAAAACTGTAACAATTTTTCATGTTCAATTGAATCATTCTTGTTTTTTGTTTGCCTAAAATTCGATACATTGCTCACGCTGTGGTCGTCTTATATATATTTTGCATTAAATATTGATCCTTAAAATTAATTCCAGATTTCTATGAAGAAAATGCATGATTAAAGAAATAATTACGTCACACGTAATTTTTGTCTCAATATTAGCCCCGTTTTAGCAGTTTTCGTATTTTTAAACTGAAAAATGAATACTTAATCGTTATCGGATCAGATAAATATTTCGTATACATGAAATTAAATACCTTCCGCGAATAATGGGTGATACATATTTTTATATAACAATATTTATTTGGTGTGCGAAATGCCTAAACTTTAGAGATAGAAACTACAGATAGATCCGTGATTTGTGTCGTCAAACACGTTATTTGTGTAAAAAATGAGCCGTTTTAAGTTTGAGGTTTAGTAAAAACTGTAACGATCGTTGGATTTTAAGTGAATCTGAATAATTTTTTCACGAGCATGATTTTCGATACATTATCCAACTTTTGTACGATCTAAAATGAATCATAAAAATAAATTATTCTATGAATTAATCAGACAAAGTCGAAGTTCAAAAAAGTTAAAAGTAGCCCTTTTTCCAACGCATTTTATACCCATTTCCCGTGGTCTTGGGCAGTTGAAAAATACACCATTAGATAGAGGAGGTACTTATCATTATAGGCATACTATTTTTATTTTATTAAAGTAACATCTTGATTGCTAAACAACTCGTTAAAGACCATGCCCAATCGGGCGTAAACAAGTAGTTCGAAAATGCCGAAATTATTACTACGCACTTTTTTTTAAAAACCGGTAAACAACAATGGGTTTATAACGTCGGCCGACAGACTGTATAAAATCGAAACGCCAGCCATATACGTATGACCAATCGCCCATACAAATGCATCGCTTAAATATTTTCCGTTCACGTTTAGGTTGTAAAAAGCATTGCAACCTTAAACTCCCGCTTAAACTCCCTATTAGTGTCATCAAGTTTACATCAAGCTCTAAATAAGTAGCAACTAACACTGACTGGCAGCTAACTATTGGTTTGATCGTTATTTCAACTTCAAAATGATGAGTTTATTTCAATGCAGATTCCCTATGAGTTGGAGGTCAAGCCGTCAACCGGCAGTTGCATTCGCGAATGTCACCTAAACTATAATACTTGGTAGCATTCGCGAAATCAAACCATGTATTGGAAGTTGATAGGGAAATATGGTCTTGGGGACATCGACGACATAAAATATACCCAGACGAAAGAAGATGCATCGAGTTTTATTAATTTCTTAGTTAATTTTGTTTGAATTACAAAATTATTTACTAACTAACTAACTAACCCCCATTAGGTTTGCGTGTATGCCTATTCTACTGTGTGAATCGTTGAAAAAACGGAAATTACAAGACGTGATGAAGATCTTGTATTTATATTTTTATTGAGTTGTGAACAAAGGTGCATCACCATGACACTATTAGTAATGTGGCGCTTTTATAGATGGTGCTAAGATCGACAACAAAATCCTTACTTGTTATTTTACATGATGATCATATCATCCCGGGATATCATCACGGCTAAAGAGTTAGGGTAAAGTGCATGAAAATACAAGTTTTTGAAAGAATTCTTACATTACTTTCAGATTTTTGTTTCAAAAGTGTTCATCTGGTCTTGATGTACAAGATTTCTGTTGATCGAAGTTGAGACGACCCCAATTTTATCTTGGAATTCGAGTCTTCTGGTAATATGTAATTTAAAATATTGAATCTCCCTTGGTTGGTGGAACACATGCATATCTATGATTCCATCTAAATATTTTGTAACTGTATTTTTCACAAACCTGTCAGTAGACAAGAATAAACATGTGTAATAATTGTTTACTATTTGAACCCTACGAGCACATAACTCATTGATTGGTCAATGATGATGTCATCAGCTTGGTCACGTGGTATTGCGGACGAATCGTGCACTGACTGTGTAAAGAGGTTATAGTAGGACGGTGAATATAGGGCATGCATGAATATTACTCGTCCATATTATTCATATGCAGTTATAATTCGACATATGATCATCACCTAAAATTATACTCGAGTTGATCAATAAGCAGTTATCTACGATGGAATATTAGAGAAAAGAAATAGACGAAAACGCGGAGGAATATATTTGAATATCAGTTCCTAAGAGGCGACATCTATTTGTTTGTAGCTGTTGGTTGGCGCGGATTCAAAAAGGTCGAAGGATTTACTGCGATAACGTCTACATTTACTGCACAATCACTCAACAAAACTGATTTTATTTTCGTATGGTGAATAAGTAAGTACATTTCACTAATCAGGTCAAGTTTTGCACAATTTGGTTGAGTACTTTAGCAGATAATCGAACATGTATTTCCATGACAATTTCACCGGCTTTTGTTTCGAAGTTCAACTTGAAAATATTGAAGTTTGATTTGTCATATTTTGTAGGAGTTAAAAACAGCAACATGTCTGGTTTATTGAGGAAGTTGCATATTCCTGGAGTAAAAAAGCGTGAAAGGCCCGACAGTGAAGCAAGAGTAAAGCTTCAAAAGGAGTTATTTGCTTTCACCAAGGTAAGAATGTTTTAGTACAGTTGCACTCACTTCCTTGTTCAAAAACCTGCCAAGCATTTGGAATTACTTCGGTCCAAAGCCTTCTCTATATTCCGGCTTTGAGGAGGAAGATTGAGCTGCCTTAGTATTATAAATATTGTAAATCATTGTGTCACACGCACAGTAAATATGGCATAATAATATGAAATATACCTTTATGTATAGATTTGAAGAACATCAGCTCACATCCCCGTCTGAATCTATTGTTATATTTGATTTCTTTAAGCGAGAATAATTTCAAATGTTATTAGTGCTTGCAACGGTAATGGATCTCACTGCCGGTAAATTTCACCTCCATTACCTTACCGTTACCGATAATCGTTGATACTGATAATGTTCCTAAAATCCCGGGGAAAAATCTGAAAGTGAAACTAAAATATTTGGAAAAATCCTTAACGAAGCCGATTTCTCAGCTTGATTTCCCGCTCACATCAACTACAGTGGATATATTGTATCATCGTGTATCTCGTGTGTGATTGTGTATTGTTAGGAAGTCTTTGAATGATAATATAGAGTGAATTCGATCAAAATTGATCAAATTATTTGTGTTTGTTTTTACTTCACCGAAATATCACGTCACGTGATTTGTTAATCTCGCGGCATGGGAGATGATTGACAGAAGTGGGCGGGGTTTTGCTTATCCTCCCGCCTTTTACGAATGATTTGCAGTTGATTGACAGATTAGCTCTTCAAATGTGGAGATTGAAATATACATGATTGATAAAATATTCTTAATTTTTGTTTCGTAAATTTGACAATGGATCGCAATGCCAATCATGTTGCAGCAGCATGACGATTATCGGCAATGGATTTTATTACCGGCAATTGAGAGTATCTACTGCCGCTGCCGACAATCCGGCATTACCGTAAGGCACTAAATGTTATTCACGTCCAGAACCGGAAGCCATTTTTAGCTACTGCGAGGAAATTTCACCATGTGTCAAACTCTGAAATGAAATTTTGAAATATCTAAATCCAGACAAGCAACGCTTCATCCTAAATATGATTAATATTCTTAAAAATATTTATAAAATTTATTAAAAATGAGTTCTAGGTGCGTGTAGGTGCGTGTAGCACAGTACATACGAAATCAATGAAGTTTCGTCTAGCTGTAAGCTAGAGACTCGAGTAAATTTGGAATATTTCCAGGTGAAAACTGTAATTGTAAAGCTAAGCTCATCTAACTTGTTCAGTTGGGCAAAACTATGTGGTACACCTGGCCCATAGCCAAGGTGGTGGGGGGGGGGGGGCTTGCAGAGTTAAAAATGTTCATGCAATAATGATCGTTTTGGGTATAGCCTACCATGTTGTCGTCATTTCATTGAGCTTATATTTGTGATCAGTAGTTTCCATCCGTTTGAGTAAAGAAGTCAGTCATAACCAGGGTGCTTCAACAAGAAACCAACTTCCCCTTTCAAATCTAAAGAATGACCAGCTGGTAAGGTAGATTGCGCATTTTATCTCTGCGTGGGGTGTGAACCTGGCCTAAATTATAAGGTATAAGAAGTTTTAAAAATGTGTCACAGATTTACAGACTAAGCCTTGATATATTCCTCACCTTATCTTTGGGATGAAAGGATAACAGTTCAAAATAAAAAATAAAACATTCTATCGATTTACAAGAAAATAATATTCTTGGAGAAGTTCATAAAGTCATAACAGTAGTATCCCAGCATAAACTTGTATCTTATTCTAAAATGGGTCCATGTTCTTTGTGGTAGGTCAGCCTGACACAGCAGGTGAAGAACATGTCTTTCAGATAAAGATCGCATGTCTTCTGCTCATGCCTTCTTGTAATTTTTTACACGGTTTTAAGTAAAATTAGAAAGGGTTACCATCTACTCTGACATTTATTAGATAATTTATAAGGCTTTTGCACATTCTATTTGTTCCAAGTTTTTAGTCTCTTCAATATACAGTAAAACCTGTGTTCATTGAATATTTTTATGATGAGAAAAAATGTTCAGTGTTCAAGTGTTGGTAGCTATTCACTATAGAGAGTAATTATGTACAGAAGTCAGTAGAGTATGTGCAGAGGAAGGGTGTCTACTAGGGACAGGTGTTCACTAGAGAGAGGTGTTCACTTGAGAGAGGTGTTCACTAAGATAGGATTTACTACATGTATATGCTTTCTATGCTGGACCCGTATGCTAGTCTGAGGCATGCATGTATTACTGATGAGCATGCAAGATAAAAAAGTTATATTCAGCAGTTATGTATATTTGTAATTTAAAATTATAAACAAATGATGGATGATTTATAGACATGAATTTGAACTTTATTTGAACTTGATATCAAATAAGCAGTTTTTATATTTCTCATAAATTTTTTCTAGTAAACTAATGATCGGAAACTGGACGCAATTATTAGTTGTTGCCTAACGGGAGTTTAAATCTTCTGCGCCGTTTCACTACTTACTAGAAACTCTTAAGCCCATAAAGCTGGAATTATATTCATTCTCAAATTAAGAAGCAATTATCAGATTACATAATCTCTTTATTCAAAACACTGCTCAAGATCACATTTAAAAACCATTTTCATTCTTACTAAAAAAGAACATCTCATCCTTACTGAAAGAGACATGCGGCTAGAACAGTATTGGTGTGTATCTCATACTTGAGTGGGTTTGGGGTAGATATCACCCGGGATTATATTTATCGTATCTGAGGAGCAGGCAGGATATATTGTATATGTCCCGCTCCAGGCCAAATGCGGGCAGATATAATATATCCATCCCGCTCCCGGGATTTCAAAAGTTTAAAAAAGTTTAAATATCAAAAGTTTTAATTTTAAAATTTAATTTTTTTAAGTTTAAATGTTACAATTTCATTGTATTGAACAAAAAGAATATTACGAAAATGTTAAATATAAATATCTTGTCATTTGAAAAAGGTGGAAAAGGTTATATTTACCCTAAACCCACTCAAGTATGAGATACACCAGATCTGTTTACAATCCAGATGTCTGTAATCAATTAAGAATGATGGTCATTCATAATGGTACATACAATATTTTCTTTTTCAAATTTCGCCAGGTGAAGTATATAATTGATGTTGTAGCATTTCGTTGAATCATTCTAAAGAAAACTCAAATAGAAATTTGAAGTAATTCTCATGTGCCTTAAAAGAAGCAAGTTAAAAGGTCTTGTTTTCAACAAAAATGACCATATTAGGTAGAAGCTAGATACATATTTTTCAACCTTAGATCCAGTTATGAGAACTCCATGTACAGTAAAACTGGTCCCAAGACCAACTGACTCAATTTTATAAAATGAACCTCTGTAAGTAGAACACTTATGGTACCAAAGGATTCTGTTCTATTATGGCTATTGCAAAAGTTTGTCACATCTCCAAGAGGGCTTCATAGTATAGCACTGCTTGACACTAATAAATGAAGAATTTCAAGATTAGTTTTTGACAGAAGGCTGACTACCTATGGTGGTACATTAAAAATGTTCCATGCTACATATACTTGACTTCAGATCAATTGAATAATTTAAAATACTTTCCTTAATATTTTATAGTGCACTGAGCATGGGTTTCCCAGCAAGCCAAGCGCCACTGCCTATGATCCAAAATTGAAACTTCTCGCAATCGGCACCAAGAGCGGAGCAGTAAGAATGTATCCTTTTTATTGAAAAAATAAGCATGACAATTGACAATATGTATAAAGGTAGGTTAATGTGTCTCTACAGGTAAAGCCAAGTACTGGTGTTCCTTCAGTAAAAAACTCCTCAGTTCCTTAAGTTATGATTGACCCCACCTATGATTTAAGAACAGGATAGAGATGTCAGGGCAAGACAATATAACAGTATTCACATTGACATGTGCTAACCTGTGATGTTTTTGATAACAGGGGAGTTAATATGATGCTAACAAATGGACCAGAGGTGTTCACATACATAGGCGTTTCTCTGTGTTTATATGTGTTAAGTTTTATTTTGTTTTGCATTTGTATGTAACAAGTACCTCATTAGTTTAGGTACATGAGGAAGTGAATGTGTCTACTTTGAGTACTTCAAGTAGCATAATCTTGGCCTACTACCAGTTAAGGATTTTTGTATTCTCGTCTTACTCATGGTGAAATTTCAAATATTATAATCTACAAGTAAAAATTCCAACTTTGGAATATAAATAAATATTGAAACTTGTAATTTAGAAACAATTTCAAGGCACTGTTACATATAAACATTATATTGTATTGTGTTTAATCAACGTGTTAAGTACAATAACAAGAAGGAGATTTCAGAAGTCGTAAACCTTAATCCTCCACAAGAGGAAACTATTACATAAATGCTAGATAAGTAGTTGTACATACATATTTGGAAACTTCAATACTTATCTCCCTATTAAGTACTGTATATAATAGCTCTGAAATTGTTTGCACTTTTGAGTATCAAATAATTTTGTTGACTTGTTGAAGCCTTGTGAAGTACATGATCAAGGGAATGGTTTGTTTATGTGTGGATGTGCTATTATTAGGTCATATAGTGGTGGGATTTTATTGGAGAAATGCTTGATCAGGGGAATGGTTTGTTTACTTGTGGATATGCTATTTAGGTCATCTAACATTGGGATTTTATCAGAGATTAGGTTTTCATTTGCTGATAATACATTTGTGTATTCATGATTAGTCATGTTTATATGTATAAGATTGTAAATCTGGTTTTCGATTAAGTTTTTGTCATCAGAAGTATAATAAAGAATTTATCTTTTACTCTCAGGCCCATAGCCATTGGGGTTGGCCATTGAGTGAAAGTGAACCCCCCTTGGCAAAAGCTGGTGACGGGCCTGACTCTGGGGCCAATCTACATGTATGTGTGTATCATCATGTTAATGCTTTCCAAGCCTTTATATACTATTTTCCAGCTTATATACAAACCCTCTATATACTTTGATGTTCAAATTAAATGATGGAAAGGTGTTGTCGGGATATTGGGGTCTGTTTTTAGGACTGGCTGTACTCTTTAAATTCCCTGTTTAGGCTTTTTGTCCTTTCCACACTCAACTCCATTTTGGCACTTGTGCTTACATATTCATTACAGTTGCAAATACATTGCAGTTGGAATTAAAGGTTTGAGTGCCCTGAACTGGTAGATCATGTTAAGTACAGTTCAACCTGCATGTAATAAACACCTTGTTCAGACGGATGCATCCGCTGAAGGCTGTATTCATATAAGAATGGACCAAGTGTGTAGTTCCCCCTTCTTCAGCCTCCAAGATGGTGATAGTACAAAGTTGGAGTATCTTAAACCTTGTGAATCAAAATGTAGTTTCCCCTTCCTTTCAGTATTATTTCTGCAACTTCACTCGTAAGCATCCTGTAACATTTCTGTCTATAGTGTGAAGGTCAGAGGGCAGTTATAATTACTAGTTTTTCAGCCTCAGGGTACTATGAGATTCAACTGCCATACAAAATCTATTTGCCTACATGGAGATGCACCTAGTTGCAACTCAGTGGTATTTGTATGTACATGAGAGCTGGCAAGTTAAACAACATTCTTTCATTAAGAAACTCCCCGTTATGGTGCAACCCATCAAATGAATGAAATGCTTCGCTTGTAAACTTGGCAAGAATTGGTTTAACGTTGCATTTTCCATACAGGTATATTTTAAGCTCTGCATGTAATAATGCATTGATTATACAATCATGCTGTTTTTAAAATTATGTTTATTAATCCAAATGTCTCACCTGCATCAATTTTACAATGATGGTCATTTGTTTGTATAATAAGTAGTAGGCTCTATGGATGTTCTCAACTAGTCATTGCTTTGTGTGGGTGCCATTTTCAAGTATAACTATCCCTTAATGGATAGTACAGTCGGGCATTTTTATTAAGCTAGATATGGTGTCAATGATTTTGAGTCCCACACACGTACCTGACAATCTTGCCTGACAATCGTTGGCTATTCATACTTCTAAGGTTAAGTTTGTTTGACATTTGGTTTTCAAAAAACTGTAATTGAATATTCAATATGTTCTATAGGGAATTTCTATAAAGCATCCATCTCTACGGTTTATGACTCATGATATCTACCTATAGGGAGAAACACGCTATTGATTTTGTTGTAAATTATTTCACGAGGAGTTTATGAGAACTGTCGCTGGGAAGAATTTCATGTTTTATATCGTTATAATTGAATCTTGCAACTTCATCATACTTCGGAATACATTTTGAGATGTCTCAATCATTTTTGTGCTAGAATTGTCTCATAAATGTATTACCCTGGGTACCCTTGCTGAATGTTAAGTAACGTTTCTCATTTTGTGCAAAATATCAAAATGTCATTTGCAGTATGAAGGCTGCATAGGTTTAAAATAGTTAGATTATTAGAGTATCAAATCTCCAGGTACCCACCTTTATACCTTTGTGGCTTTTGCTCTACTTAATAATTTTTGTGAAACTTGGGATTTTAATCAAAATTTTATTGAAGGTGCCTTGTTTTGAATGATACTTGTCATTAGAGGTCATCAAAAAGACAATCCAGGTTTAACTACATGATTATTTAAATGATATCTGTTTTCATATCTCTTAATGGATTATTCACTTGATGAGTCATATTCACCTTGACAAGGTCATATTGAGTGATAGGTAGAGTTGTTGTTCTTTACGTTTTAATTGATATCTAGTTTTTTTGCTTGTTACACTATTTTCCTCATGAAGATAGCCTTGTATTCAATATTCTGTTATTTCTTGGCATTCCAAATTATTGAGTGTCTGCTTAAATGTTTGTTCAACTAGCAGAATTTTATGTTTTATTTTGTATTTTATAACAAACCAGACCAACACTGTCTTCTATCAACTGGCATTCTGTGTGTGATACTACAAGTGCTTTATAAGTCAACATTTGAATAATGTAAGCTTATAACAATATATAACAACAATATTCTTTTTCTGTTGCACTGGAGTCATTTTAAATGTTTCAATCAACTTGACTTGTCTTCATTCAGAATAAGTATATTTCATATTCCCAATAAACACTGGCATGTAGCGGCCCTGATATCGATAAATTCTACACGCAATATAACCCGATTTTAGATGCTTGGTTAAAACTTTACACGAAAAAGCCTCGATATCCGGGCATTTACTCTTACACTGAACTGAAAATAGCATCGTCTAAACGTGTATGTCTTGGCTTCCGGGTAAGTTTATCAACATTTATACTCAATTGAAAGAGCAGTCGTGCTTATATCGTGTACCAGTTTGATTGTTTTATATGTGTGTGTATTTATAATATGATAGCCTAGTAATACCGTGTCGTTAGAACAAGTGCTAGATATCGAACTGATGACCTGAAATTAGATTATTGGACTGATCGCGCATCTGATATTAGATGATTAATTTGCATTGAATCTGATATTAACTTGCAACCCAATACCACAGTAAATACCATGACTTTACATTAGAATGATAACACGGCCTCATATTCTAATTCATTATACGTCCATTGCAGGCCAAAAATGTTTCAATGTGGATATTGTAATGCACACGAGAATACATTCGATTCGTATATATTGATCATACATCAATTAAGCATGGAGATTTTCCTGTACACTTTTCCCAAACATGTGGAATAGACTAGATGCGAGTAGAAATTATCTTGATTTATCCTATGCCAAGTAGGGTTTTAGGGAGATAAGTTGGTAAGATATATCCCGTATCATGATTTTGAGGTTTCCATATCAAGAACCTCCATATCTCCCGTCATATCTCCCGCTTCGGTGCATATCTTCCCGCTTCGGGGCGTTTCTTCCCGCTTCGAAAAAAATGGAAATGCAATAAAATGACTTTGCATATGAATGATTTGTTTATTTTTTACACCTTGTACTACTGAAAACTCTACTTGGTATAGGATAAAGCAGTTGTGTACGGTCGGTTTGGATATTGGGTTCATCCCTCGTGAGATATGCACATCTACTTTCTGTCCCTACGGTCCCTCAGGTAGATATGCATATCTCCCTCTGGAAGAACCCCATATCCAAAACCTCCCAGTACATAACCCTTATTTATCCCATGGTTACAAGGATATAGATCGAATATCACGTGAAGATATAATTGATACGTGGATGAAGATATCATATTTTAGCAAACAATTCCGAAATCATCGAATATCACTTTTGAAACCATCGAATATCACTTTTTGAAAGGTGATATTCGATGGTTTCAAAAGTGATATTCGATGGTTTCAAAAGTGATATTCGATGGTTTTGATTTTTTCAATTTTATTTATTAATTCAGCAAAACGATTGTTTATATATTTATTATTTATCCCACGATTAATGTGTTATCTGTACAATAACAGCTATTGATATTTCTGATATTATTGAAATCCGTGTGATATATTCCAGAAAATCGTTTATCAAACGCATATGCGTGTAATATCGTTTATCTCACGCATATCCGTGTGATGTCACATTTGCATTTCGCGCCACAATATTGTTGGAAATTAGGTCAGATATTTTATTCTCTTTTGAGAAAATAGGTCCGTTTATTTATTCTCTTTAAGTTTCATCGGTGTATTGAATTACTATTGTGTATATAATTTGATTAGAAGGCTGCTAACTAACGATTAAAAATGGTATTTATGACGAACTATACATGTTACTTACTTTTAATTGTT